CGAGAAGACATCCTTGGCCATGATTGGGGGTGGAGAGATTCAGAGGCGACTGGTGAGAGGTCAAGAGTGGGCCAATCAGGAGTTCAAGAATCTTGAGGCATGTCCCCAGGAGGAGTCGGGTGCTGCTATGGTGGCAGAGATGGACTTGGAGAATGACCTCATGGAGAATTTCCTACAAGAGTCTGCAGCGGTTGTGAGGCCGCTTGGAAGCGGTTTCTATGGGGTCTGTGACAGAGGAAGAGGAGTTGTTTCTGCAAACCAAGACCATTGGCCTCAATGAGGTTCGGAAGACGTTGCCTTTCTGGATACCTCCCCTGCGAGAAGAGATTGGAAATTTCGACTCCAACCAGGCCATCCAGAGGGTGACTGAAGAGGAAGCCATGAGTCTGGTCAAGGAGGCGGAGGATAAGGGGCAACGAGCAGAGATTATCCCTGGAATGGGAGTGTTCACCAGAAAAGCTGGGGATGGCCGAAGACGTGCTCGCATTGTCTGTTGTGGCAACTACATGGAATCCAGAACCGGTGATGAGGTCTATGCGTCAGGAGCTGATGCGACCCAGCTGAGGGCCATGCTTCGTGTGGCGTCTTTGCACAACTGGCACTGTCTATCCCTAGACGTGAAATCGGCTTTTCTTCTGGCTCCCAAAGGCACAGGGCGAATTGGTCATAGTTAGGCCGCCAAAAATCCTTGTTGAAGCATCTCTGGCACAGCCTGGCGAGCATTGGGTCATTACCTCAGCCATGTACGGCCTGGTCACATCTCCCAAGGACTGGAGCGTGTACCGGGATTCCGAGCTTCAGAAGGTGGAGGGTAAGGTCGACATCCAGGCCGCTGGCAAGGAGATGGAGGAGGTGAGCTTTGGTTTTCGCCAGCTGAAAGATGCCAACCTGTGGGCGATTCAGGAGTTCTCGTCAGCTTCTGGTGTTAGGAACTGGGGAGCAGTGCTGGGCTACATGATTGTCTATGTGGACGATGTCTTGATGGTGGGCCCAAAGGAGGTCACAGACAGAGCCTCTCAGACAATCCAAAGAGTATGGAAAGCCTCCAATCCCGAGTACGCAGCTCCAGGAAGTGCCCCCATGCATTTCTTGGGCATTGAAATCCAAAGGTTCCAGGATGGTATGTACTACCTTCACCAAGGTTCCTATGTTCGGGAGGTGCTTGAACGTCATGATGGCGAGGGCACGGCGCCTTTCATCAGGGTCCCAGAGGAGAAGGAGGAGGGTGCTCCATCGCTGGTTCGTGTCAAGGAGGCGCAGAAGATCACGGGTGAACTACTGTGGTTATCGGGGAGAACCAGTACCAGGCCAGACATTGCTTGGGCGGTGATGAGGATGTCGCAATGGGCAGTGAAACGGCCGGAGTGGACTTTGTTATTCGGGAGGGCGATCTTGGCCTATATGCGGGGCACGAAAGATTTTGGGCTTCGATATCCTGTTGGGGTGCCTCTTGATGCTGATCCTGAGTTGACAAGGTCGAAACCCAGAAAACCGGGAACCATTGAAGTTCTTATGGATGCTTCCTTTAGTCCTGGGGATAGTTACAGTGTTTCCGGGACGATCATCCTGTTGGCGGGTTGCCCCATCCAATGGGAAAGTAAGAAGCAGGGCCTGATGGCTCTTTCCACGGCAGAAGTAGAGTTGTCCGCCTTGATTGAAGGGTTGCAAGCGGGGAGGTCGGTTCGGGCTTTGATTGAGCTGCTGTTGGATGATGTGAGCTTGGAGCTGTATAATGACAACAGAGCTGCGGTTGTCTTAGCTGCAGGCACTGGTGGGGGCTGGAGGACGCGTCACCTACGGATCAAGGATCAAGGCTCATTGCTTGGCGGAGGCGATCAAGATGGGTGAATCTTCCTTGAGCCATAGACCGGGGTCTTCGTTGCTATGTCAAGCTCACCTGGGTTCCGAGGCCGAGGATTAGACAGTGGAGAACGTGGAGGTGTGTCAAGGTGTATAGCAATGATGTTGGCTAGGGTATCTCTTCTTCCTGTGGGTCAGGCTAATGAGGCATGTGAGAAGGGTAAACCGGAGCAAGAGCAGAAGTCCTAGATGTTCAGTAATCTAGGGTGGTTCGTCTTCCTAGCGGGTTTGGTGTATTTGTTACACATCATCAAAGACATTAGCATGGGCATAATCCAGCGTTTGTTATCTGGAAGGGAGGAGGTGAAAGTGAAGTTCCTTGCAGAGGAGGCCATCATACCGGTGCGAAGTTCAGAAGGTGCTGTGGGATGGGATCTTTATACCACCATGCATTGCAGCATACAACCAAGACAACACAAATTCCTTTCCATTGGCATCGTCCTAAAAATTCCAAAAGGGAATTATAGACGATTTGCATCCAGAAGTTTACTAACAGCTCAGGGATTAGAAGTGGCTAGAAGCGTTATAGACCCACGCCGGGTGTCGCTCAGAAGAAGAGGTTCTACACGATCGTAATTTTCCTAAGCATTAAGGTTTAGCGAGAAAGAAATCTATATAATCGTGGTTCGCCTAAGTATAAAGGTTTAACAAACTCAAAGAAATAGCTATTTTATCGAGGGGGAAATAAAGGTATAAAAAGCGTTAATAAGGCTCCATATCATTGCAATCCTCCAAGGTAAAAAGGTTTAGTGAATAATATTATAAAGTTACTTCCAATCCGGGAATATGGTAAAATAATAACGTCAAAACATATACCAAATAATTTCTTTTAAAACGTTTATATCTCGTAAAAAAATATCTATAAAAATATTTTTGTATCGATTAAAAAATACTAATTTTCGATCATTTTCATAATTATTAATAATCAATGTATTACGTTTCGTAAAGAATATACCGATAAATAATATCCCATATAAAATAATAATATAATTTCCACGGACGATAATTTTCATTAAAATTTATCGTTATAAAGCTTTAAAAAAGAAAATGTATAATAACTTATCAATTCCTCCAATTCCCTTTAAAACGGCTTCGTATATAATAATCCTAACTAAAAAATAAACGAAAAATAATCAAAACAAATGCAAAAAAAATTAATCATAATATATATTACCTCCATCAACGCTAAACAAACTATAATTTATTATTTCGTGTTTCGAAAATATCCGAACATAAAAAAAGTGTTAAAACCGAATTTCTAAATTTCGTGGTTCGAAAATTTAAATTCCTAAAATATTTTTCGGAAGAGCAAAACAAATGCCCTTTCTATATAATGCTTAAAATAATTTCGAACAATCGATATTTAAAAAATTAAAATCCGACAATGTAAAACCCTTTTTTATCCGAAAGAAATAATACGAAGGAATTACACGATTTCTATAATAATATAATAAAATACAATATAATACAATATAATATAATATAATATATAGAAAGATATTTTTTAATTTATATTTCCCTCTGGGAAATTATGATGATTTAATTCTGGACAAATCCTTTGGGAATTGTCCTTGTTTAATTTCACACCTCGCCATGAACAAGGCCCCTGCGGCGGTAGTACCTTATCAAGATGAGCACTGATCTGGTAGTTGCTCTTGCCATAGCAAATTTGACACGACTGAATCCTCAATAAGTACATAATGCCACGCTGATACGGGTTCTTCAGCACGCCCATTGGAGTGTCTCTTGGCACAGAAGATAATGATGATTGGCCCATAATTCGAGCAATTCGGCCAACCTGCCAATCAAGCTGATCATATCATCTGAATGTGTGAAAAGGTAGTGAAAGAATAACCGCTGTGACTTCTCACAGCTTCAAAACCAGTGCCTCTCTTTCTCTGACTGGACTGCGCACCTCAAAGCCGAATGATGCCGAATGCATGTCATTCCTTCAAGCAGGCCTTGCACAGTCTTGCTTGGCTAACTGAGCTTCCTGCAGAGCGAAGCTGGTCAAATTCCCAAAATGTATGAGATGTCATAGGTGACCTTGGGGTTCCCGTAGCGTCTCTTGCTTCATTCTGTAAGAAGCTGAGCCAGACCAGTACAGCTGCGTCTTTGAAAGCGAAGATGGTGGTCTCGAGGATTCCTGGCGCAAGAATGGAACAACCTTGTCAACTCTGAGTCTGTATTGCACTCTATGTCTTAGGTGCAAGCAGAATCCGATCTTATTGATGGTGCAGAGTGTGAGCTAGCCATGCGAGGCCCAGGACTTCCAGGAGGAATTGTTTGACCTAGCACTAACATGCAATCGAGTGATTTGACAATTGATTGTCAAGAACCAAAAGCATCACAAGTTTAACGCCCGCGTTCCACATGAACTCTTGCAAATTTTAGGCTCTGACCTGTTGCGGGCCTAAGCAGGGACATGTTGCTTTGCTGATTGATGCCAACACAAAAGCCCTACCTTTCAAAGGCACTGGTGTACCCCAGCCCATATATTCGAATCGGCCTCCGGAATGTGAATTGGAGCACTTCGGAAGATATTGCATATCTTACAAAATGTATTAGCAAGATTGCTGACGCACCGTTTCGGCTTCTTGTCATTTGGCACTCCACCACTACCGAGCTGTGCTAATGTTGCTCCCACCTCAACTCATCGGTGGCCACAATAGCAATCTCAGAATACAAACAACTGGGTGTCAAACTCCATATGGAGTCAGGGATGCACAACTTTCCCCGATAACTGCCATGCTCGCCTGGGAAAGCAGGAATGATAGCAAGCAGTCAGGACCTAGCAAAGCGTTCACTTGTTCCTGTTCTGTGGCCTCACGTTGTGCAAGGCCAAACGGCTCATAGAAGGCAGCAGGGGCTACGCTTTCAAAAAGCCACGGAAGGCGGTGAGAACTTCAAGAAGCTGACTCAACCTTCTATTGTTCAATAGTCCAACGATCCAAGTTCTTCTGCATTTTGATCTTGTCTTGGTCTGCAAATTCGGCCCAAGTTGAACCAGGAATCTTAGCCTGGTTGACGAAGCCTCTCTCTCAGCCCGTTCGCTGAGAAAAGCACTTTTAGGGGCAAAATACTTAATTTACATGTCCGCAACCGGTGTCCATTCAAACGAAGCGTTAGCTCCACAATGATCAAGAAAGAACCTCGAAATAGATGGCAGTGCTGCCAACCACTGCTGCAACCTGCCAACCAATTTTGAGTGGACTTGGTGGAACTCTGCACGATACATCCGTTACACAAATCATCTGAAAGCAAACTAATGCCTCTGGGATGAGTGTGTAGGCGAATGCTCCACCCTACAAAGAGAATGGACTGGAAACTGACGAATGCTGTGATCCTGTTTTTGCTGAGCTCCTGGCAATCAGCATTCGCCCATCCACAGCTTCGCCCGGAGCCAACCAACACTGCACAGCAGTCCACGTGCTAGACAGTGATCACACAAATCCGAAACTTCCTTCCGGAAATCCAGTTTTGTCAAACAACCAAGTGCAACAGGTGATTCCAGATTGAGCACACTGAAAAAGAGTAAGGATCCGGGTGTGAATTTCAGGTACATGATGGGCCGGGACCCAAATCTAGTGGAAACCAGGTTGGAGCACTTATCTACTCTTCAAAACAACATGCCTGGACAAGTTGCCACTCTAAAGAATCTACAGACACGCCTCTACCAAAGAGCAGCCACAAAAAGGAAAAAGTATATTTCCTTGATTATTACTACTGCAAAGTCCAATCTCAAACAAGAAACCAACACCCGGCCAGCAAAAAGTCAAAGCTGTGCTACTCTTCGAGCCCTGATTTTGTATGAACAAATGATTGCTGAAGTGAGGTTTCGTTGGTGACTCTGGGCGCACAAAGTTTCTATGGGCTGGAAACATCTTTTCTAGGATTCCCCCTGGCTCCAACAATAAAAAGGCTCTATGAAATTCAAGTTCCAGGTATAAAGGAGGAGTGGCTTTGGATGAGTGTAGTGGTTTTAGTTTTGTTGGCTGGGAAAGCCTTAGGGCTTGCCAGCTTCTTTCTGGGATTCCCAACGGTTTCCAAACATATGTGCATGTGTATTCGCCACAATTTAGTTCAGGACAGTTCTTTTAAAAATAGTACGCGGCGCTACTACCTTGGCCTTCTTAAGAATGTAGTTTTCAGTTCCACCAGCCACTTCATCTATGACCACCATGCCTTGAATAGATGCGTCCTTATGAAATTCAAGATTCAGCTGTAAAAATCCCTGAACAGATTGTTGCCTGTCCAAACAAAATGTGTTGGATTACTTCTTGTTTGATGTCTTATCTTTTGATTGTTAAGAGAACACATTTTCTCTATGTAGAATCATCCCTGATTTGGTACACATCCCCCTGATTTCATAGAGATTATTCTTACGGGAATAGGTGCAGTAAGGTAAGGGTTTTCAAGTTTCTGTCTGTCAGGGGCCCTTCTCAAATCAGAAACACGTTTTGCACCTCGAGATTCGCACCGCCTTGGAGCAGCTCTTCTTCGGAGACAGGCTGCCATCGCTGCCCTGCAGCGGCTAGTGCTCAAATAAGGGTGCGATGCGGCGATGCCATCGCATCTCGACGCTAGCCATGGCAAGTTGTGATCTAAGACGCTCACCAAGTTGAGACATTGCCCTGAGAACAGCACCGCTGAAAACAAGTAAATAAAAAAAGAACATAGAAATAATAATAAACTCAGAAACAAGTTCATCAGTCATCTGAGTCATTTTGCCCATCCTTGCTGACAGCGAGCGAGGGAGCCCAAATTGGAGGAAACTTTGGCTTGGCCTCAGTCTCATCTCATCTGCGTAGCTCCTATCTGGATCTGAACAAAAGTGTTCTTGAACAGTTGTCACGGTCATGCCTATCCCCAGGTCCTTGCTACATTGCTGCTTGCAACTTCGGCACTGATCACTGGGAAGGTCAATCAAAGATGCTGCTCCTGAGCAAGGAGCTGATCAGAAGTGTGCTCTCGTGTGAATGTGCATGAGCCGAACTATGTTACTGCATTGAGCTGTGTTACAGATTGTGTAGTACATATTGTGTATGCTTGGAATGCAGCGCTCAAAGCATTCTAAGAAAAGCGATGCTGCATTCAGTGCAGGCTTTGACGCCTCTTTACTACACAGTTTCCAATGTGCACGAGTGAAAGGAACCAAGCCTTTCTTGTTGAAGTGGACAAAGCAGCCCACCGTGAGCGCAGTGATCAACCTACGGCGCTGCTGAGCAGGCGACCAAAACATCAAAGAAACGCCGCGAGATATGTTTGGCATCTGCTTTCCTAGCTCAGTTTTGCACGAGCTGGAAGCTGCGACATCATGGTCTTGCAAAAATTGTGCAGTCAGACTTGGGAGGCCTCCCAAAATCTGTCTACTGTATCATTCATGCACGCCCAAAGATTCTCAACCTACCTGGATCCTTTCAATTTCCGGATCTCCCGCCTGAACTAGCACAACCATGAAGCCATGCCAGGCGAACACTCTCCTCTGCCTCTTCGAAGACAGCGCCCTCCAGGAACAAGCTTCCACAAACCCATCCCGAAGAGTGCAGCGTGAACTCTGATGTTCCACACGTCCGCAGAGGTCCAAACGCAAATTTGCCAAACGTTATTTAACACTTTTGCTTGACACCCTGCACCCTTGTATATGTCTTGTAGAGCACTCTTGTGCGACATTTTTGTAGTGCATTCTTGTGGGTCACTCTTTAGCGCCCTCTTGTGGGACACTCTTGTGGGACGTTGTTGTAGGGGACTCTTGCGGGGCACTCTTGTGGGACATTCTTGCGGGACATTCTTGTGGGACCCTCTTGTAGGACACTTTTGTAAGCTCTCTTGTGAGACACTCTTGATCACTCTTGTAAGACACTCTTTCTGAGACATTCGAAAGGAGCACTTCGCACAAGACTTGAAGCGGAAAATCTCAGAGCAAACACATCGCAGCCCTGCCAGGAGCAAAGGACGCTACTAGGGGCTCCTGGATCTCTACTAGGAGCAAGGACGCTACTAGGGGCTTGTGGCCTCGCTACTAGGAACAAGGACGCCCCTCCAGGCTTCGTGGCAACCATGATATTTCAAGCATCGCGGTTCTGGTGCGCATCCGTCCACCCCCGTCTGCCATATACACCCCCGTCCACCCCTTGGTCAATTTTGAAAGCCCTCCAAAACGGTGATAAAACGATTGCAACATGGCTTCTAACAGCCCTTCCAGGAAGCGTGGAGCAGCATCAGCTCCCTCCATGCTTCGTTCCAACCATGAAATTTGAAGCTTTGCGGTTCTGGCATGCAACCATCCTGCCGTTTCGGCAATGACTTCGGCTGTCTTCGGCATACATTGCACACATTCTGGACACCCAAGACCGTCATATAGGCCGCGCCAGACAGTTCCACTCGCGCAATAACGTTCTTCCGCGAGGCATGGAGTATATGGCGGAGATATCCCAGGAGGAGAGGATTTGTCGTTCATTTTTGTCTGGCAAACCTTTGCAGGCTTCGATCTTAAGAATTTACACCGGCGTAGACCCTAGATAGAAATATCGTTGCAGTAAGAAGAAAACAAGACGGTTCCCTTTTTGGTCCAACCATCAAATTTCAAGCGTTGCGGTTCTGGCGTGCAACAATCCTGCCGTTTCGGCCATGACTTGACTGTCTGGCGCATGCGTTGTGCACATTTTGGACACCCAAGACCATCATATAAGCCCTGCAACACGGCTCGCCTCGCGTCAGAACGTGCTTCCGCGAAGCATGGAGCAGAACTACCCCCACCCATGCTTCGTTCTACTTGTGAACTGACCCACGCTTTGTCTCGCTCTTCCGCGGCGCTAGCGACTAAACGAGAACCCAAGCATCGGAGATGCTTTTGGGAAAAACACCGACAAAACAATATATAAGAACAAGAATAAAACCGTGGAAACTGGAAACCATATGTCAGAAGAATCAAGAAAAAACTTGAAAAACCGCCACGATAGAAGAACAAAGGCTAAAGCAACAGAAGAACAAGCGACATAATTACGCGCGTTCCCAAACGAGCCGAAAAAATCCTGCGTTCTAAACGAACCAAATCTTGCCTTCCAAAACAAGGCGGTTTCCATTTATTTGTCAGCAAGATGATCCAGCGACTATCTCATAAGGCATTCACCATTTCACCCAAACAGAATCACGATGCTTCAAGAATCAGGATGTTTGAGGATTTCAATACAGCTCGACATGCGCAGCAGTTTAGCAAAATTTGTACCAAACCACCCCTTCGGAATGGTCGCGACACTTTCTGGCCCACTCACATCAACCAAAACCACTGTCACGAAAACACCGCTTGGAGGCAAGCGCTACAAGAGAGAACCCCAAGGGCAAAGCGTGGCAGTGAGAACATCTCACCTCCAGAGGGCTCTGAGAACGCGGCTACTGGCATCGCTACTAGGAACAAGGACGCTACTAGGAGCAAAGGGCATCGCCACTAGTGGCAAGGAAGCTACCACTCCTGGCGTCGCTACTAGGAGCAAGGACGCTACTAGGGGCTCCGGGCATCGCTACTAGGAGCAAGGACGCTGCTAGGGGCTCCTGGCACTACTAGGAGCAAGGACGCTACTAGGGGCCCCTCCTGGCATCGCTACTAGGAGCAAGGACGCTACTAGGGGCTCCTGGCATCGCTACTAGGAGCAAGGACGCTACTAGGGGCTCCTGGCATCGCTACTAGGAGCAAGGACAAGGACGCTACTGGGGCTCCTGGCATCGCCCGGAGCAAGGACTCTAGGGGCTCCTGGCATCGCTACTAGGAGCAAGGATGCTACTAGGGGCTCCTGGCATCGCTACTAGGAGCAAGGACGCTGCTAGGAGCAAGGCATCGCTACTAGTGGCAAGGAAGCTACTAGGGGCTCCTGGCATCGCTACTAGGAGCAAGGACGCTACTAGGAGCAAAGGCATCGCTACTAGGAGCAAGGACGCTACTAGGGGCTCCTGGCATCGCTATACTAGGAGCAAGGACGCTGATCGGGGTCGTGGCATCGCTACCAAGGACGCTACTAGGGGTTCCTGGATCGCTACTAGGAACAAGGACGCTAGTGGGAGGAAAGGCATCACTCCTAGGAGCAAGGACGCTACTAGGGCTCCTGGCATCGCTACTACGAGCGCTACTAGGCGCTCCTGGCATCGCTACTAGGAGCAAGGACGCTACTAGGGGCTCCTG